AGATACTATGAGCCCATCTCTAAGGAGATTTCCACATAGTTGTGTGATAATAAGTTCTTCTAAAATTTAGAACTGCTTGATAAAATAATTATTTCTTGCAGGAGATATGGAGGCTGCCATTGCTGGTTTATATTTTTTACTAAAAGATTGATCTTCTAAATCTAGAAAGTCATGCTGATCTTCTTGATCTACTTTCTAACCTGTAAAAAGCATACACATAAAGACTATCCTGATCAATACAGTTGTTGTTGGTAATTGATTAAGAATATATTGAAGCCATAGGGTCAGCATAATAGCCAGGCATCTAGTCTTTTCAGAAGGCCGGCAATGGCATCCTGTATGTATTTTAGGAAAGATTTACTCTCTAGGTAACCTTATAAAGCTTAGTCCTCATCCATGCATCATATTGGGTCAATGAATTGGGGACATGATGGATTCATGTATGGCCACCCCACAGGTGACTGGTTATTTAAGAATCCATGCATATTCTACACAACAGAATTCAGAGAAAACAATGAGTGATCTTTGTAAAATACAGCAAAGTATTTGTTGACCATTTCCATTGTGTTTGAAATCTCTGTGTTATCCGTTGTTGGTAACCACTGAGGCAGTTGTCACATATTTTCTATTCAATTAGATTATTGCAGACACAAGGTAAGTTAAAGCTATTTAACATATAAACAAATTAAAAGCCCCCTTCTATTACCATATGAGGTTTATGTAAAATGTCCATGAACAGATGTACACAGTTTTTGTAATTAGACATATTCCCTGTTGGGTGTCTTCAAGCCATATACAGGAGAATCTGCCTCTATAGTAATGGATGAGGAAACATTTTTTTTTCTTCCTTTAATGCTTCTTTGCCATTTTTAGTCATGAGGTTATGACATTGAATTAATTAAATCTCATGCAGTACTGTGTGTCCTACAGAAGGAAACATCAGCACATTTTACAGAGGTTTTCCAACTTATGTGAATATAAGTACTTCTTACTCTCGGATTTGCTTCATTAAAGAATCCTATCTCATGAGAGACATGGAGGCTGCCATTTCTGAATCAATAAATCACCAACCTAAAAAAAGCAGACAAATAAGAACTACCGGTGTTCCTAGTTGGCACTTTTTTGCAGGTAACTGATTCCTAAGATTCTAAGGCAGGAGGGTCAGCATGTTTACTAGGCAACTAAGATTTTTAGAAGGTCATCAATGGCAGCCTTTTACTTTTGCATAATAGCTTTACCCCCTGGTCAAACTTACCAAGCCTAATCCTTATCCAAGCTTCATATGAGGCAATTTAAAGCGGACCTTTACCCCCTTTTACTAAATATCACATTAGCACTCAACTGTGCATGCTGATGTGAAATCATCTTACATTCATTAGAGAAAATAATGTGTGCCTCTTTGGCACAAATTAAGTAATTGTGCCCAAGCGTTGCATCCTGGGAAGGTTACATCAGCAGAGCATTGCTGGGGAATCTCATCTGTAATTTCACAAGATCTCAGGGATCTCCTCCCCTGGGTTGATGTGCATGGTCACGTGTCCTAGTCACAAGTGCCAGAGTTCCAGGAAGTAAAGGGAGATGGATTTATTTATGGACACTTTGAGAAGAATGAGGGGGAGAAAAATAAGGTATATGAAGAATAAAAAGCCGACAATTATCTATAAGTATGTGTTTGTGCCTTTCTAAAGGTGTGTTTGTTGTTACTTTGAAGATATGGTTACAGTTCCTCTTTAATTGAGGATAATTGGGTTAATTTATGACCACCCTACATGTGACTGGTTAAATAGGAAGCCATGCATATTTTATGCAACAGTATCCAGGGAAAAAATAGCTATCTTAAGATTAAGATGGGATATGTGGACCAATTCCATTGATGATAAAAGCAATGTGTTATCTGTTTTTTTGTATTTACTGAGCTAACTATCATGATGATTAATCTAAGGATCCTTCCTGTTACATTCCCTCCCAGTATTAAAATGCTAATGACTGGGATGGTGATTTGAAACAGAGCATTGTCACACTGTCCAATACAATTATTGGAAACATGCCTTTTGTTAGGTAGATTAAACCTAATAGCAAATCTAATAATACCTCATGTTAATAAATGTTGGTAATTTGGATTTAAGTTGAGGCAAAGCTCAGTAAAGTAGTATAATTTACAGGCAGGTCAGAAGAAGGTGCTGCTGAGACATTTCTATACTACACCATTCCGGGTATCTCTACTTAATAACTTTGTGTACTTGTGTTCATTTTTTATTTTTTTTCCTTGACAAATGTATTTTATTTTGAATGTATTATAGTCTTAAGGTTCTTTTTTTAGTTTTATTAGCAATATTTTTACATACATTGGTTTTCACCATGTAAATTTGAACCAACTGTTTTTTTTAATAAATGTGATCTTATATATATATAATATTAAATTTATGATTTTCTATATATATAAATGGAATATTATCACCAGAGAAAACTGTTGGTAAACATTACATTCTCTAAAAACAAAATAAATAAAGTAGAGCTCCATGCACACTGCCGTTTATTTATTGTATAAATTAAGCATCTAAACACATAGATCACATTTGGAGCCAATCAGCCTCAATGGGTCCATATGATGAGGTTCATTCAAGGCTGTTTTAACCAATACGTGCTGTTAAATTACTTTGATCGATTCATAAAAAAATCAATATGTCAAACTTTCTTTATTATAACATAACCTTTCTGTGATCTACTATGTAGGATACATTTTTAATAAACATTTCCAAAATGTCTTTATCCAAGGCTGTTTTAACCTATATGCAATGTATGCTGTATTTTAAGCTATACAGGTGTCCACTTCGATAATGGCAGTCCACCCATAATTGGATTTTGTCATAAGGACCCATATAGATGTCAAATTTTCTCCAACAACAAATAACCTTTCTGTAATGTCCTATAAAGGATATCATTTTAATAAAGAGAGATAGCTAGCTACATGACATGGGTTCCACACATTGCCTAAGCTTTTGTCTCATTTAGACAATGTCCTGTTTGAGAAAGAGAAAAATAATATTTCTATATACAGTGAGAATGAGGTAATGTGTACTAAGAGGTTGGCTACTTTAAATTCTTCATGCTAAATGGCTTCCAGGAGGCCCACTTACATTATGTATAGATAATAAGTTTAGGCCTATCTGTTTGTTCCCTTTTAGCACTGAATAGTTCTGACACAAGCAGCACAGGGATCATAGGCTACCCCTAATTAAGGGATCTTACTGTAATATATATCTGAAATACACTGACATAACTCCACTGCTTATTTGTTTTATATTTGCAAACATTAGAATCTCTGCCAGTTTTTAGTACCCTCTGTGGCCCCATTGAGCAGATATTCCTTGGTAAGTATGCAACCACCATGCATTCATCAGGATAGATTTACTCCCTAATTATACTCTGTAATCCCTAATCCTCTTTCAAAATTCATATCATGCTATTTATTTAAAAATACATTGGTTAATGTATGACCACCCTACATGTGAAGGGTTATATAAGAAGCCATTAGGGATGCACAGATACTTTTCGAGTACTAGTGCCGATACTTGGCATTTTCATGAGAACTACCAGGGTTGCAGCTGGGACCTGGCACTGGCGCTCCACCACTGTCCTGAAATCATTAGTCTGTATTGTTTTAGAAAAACTGTCCCATGACAATAAAAAAAATTTATCAGTACTCGTACTTGTAAGTACTCGGCAAGTACCAGTACTCGTACTCGCAAAACTGGTATCTGTGCATCCCTTTATTTATAGTTATAAAAACAAAATCATACATTAAAACAGAGATGTACAAATCCCAGGAGCTCCGTGTGCTCCTTACAAATGACAGCTGCCTCCTAACTTTTTAATGTTTCTCTAGTCTAGTCTTGGAGCTCAAAAGTATCGGTACATGTACTCGTACTTGTACCGAGTACTGTAATTGGTATCTGTGCAACCCTAGAAGCCATGCATCTTTAATGTAACAGTATTCAGGGGAAACATTTTCTTTTTTTTCTTTTTTTCTTTTTTATTTTTTTTCAGGGGAAACATTTACAATAAGTATCTGTGGACCATTTCCATTGATAATTAAATCATTGTGTTGTCTGTTCTTCGTATTTACTGAGCCAATTATCATTCATTTTCAAATGTGATTCCTTTCTGCTATATCCCCTCCCAGTATTTAAATGCTAATGACTGGGACAGTGGGTGGGAAAAAAGGACACTCACATTGACCAATAAAGATATTGGAAATGTGCCTTTTGTTATGCAGATTAAATCCATTAGCAAATCCAAAGCACCCTCATGCTAACGAGTGAAGGGTAAATGTATTTAAGGAGAGGCAAGGCTCAATCAGTCACAAAAATCACCAGCAGGCCAGGAGAACAAGGAGCCTTTGAGACATCTCTACACTACACCATTCCAGGTATCTATATTTTTTATGACTGTACACTTGCCTTAGTCTTTGAAATGCTTTTTTAATGTGTTACACGTATTACAGATTGCATGCATTATAGCAGCTTTTCTCAACCTTTTTAACCCAGAGAAAACCTTGAAATTGTTTTCAGGTCTTGGAGAACCCCTGCTAAAATCCATTGGGAGTCAGTGGGAAAAATAACCCTTCAACTTATAACCAGGGAAGCATGCCCCTTACAGTGATGGTCAGAATACCATAGCTAAACAGATCACATGTGTCATTCCAATGGCTCTGCCAATTGATGTTGGACACTGAACTATGCAGACACACTCAAATGAGAGGTAAATCAGATAGAACTCAAGGAACCCCTATCAACTTCTTGGGGAAATCCTAAGGTTCCACAGAATCCTGGTTGAGAATGGCTGTATTATAGTCTTAATTCTTTTTTTACATTTTATTAATTATATATAGATTGAATTACCATTGCTTTAATCAATGATTGTATTTATTTTTTACAATGAGTTTTTAATTACCTTCTGTGCAAACCTAACAAAGTTGAACAGATCTTCAACAACTCAGGATGAGTCAAGTAGGAGAAAGGCCATATCAGTGCTCCGAGTGCCAGAAAAGTTTCACTTTGAGGTCAAGCCTCAGAAATCACAAGAGGATCCACACTGGGGAGAAACCATTTAAATGTTCAGAATGTGACAAGTGCTTCACACAAAGAATTAATCTTACCCAGCACAAGAAGATTCACACAGGAGAGAAGCCATTTTCTTGCTCTGAATGTAGTCAAGTTTTTTCCAGAAAGGAAACACTAATTATTCACCAGAGGATTCACACAGGAGAGAAGCCATTCAGATGTCTAGCATGTGACAAGAGCTTCTCTCATAAGCTTAGTCTCATTGCACACCAGAGTACTCACACAGGAGATAAGCCGTTGAAATGTTCAGAATGTGACAAGTGCTTCTCACGAAGATCTAATCTTACTCAACACCAAAAGATTCACACCGGAGAGAAGCCATTTAAATGTTCAGAATGTGACCAATGCTTCTCCCAGAAGCAACATCTTATTCAACACCAAAAGATCCGTCCAGGAGAAAAGCTGTCAAAATGTTTCTCTCGCAGCTTCAGTCTTGATAAACACGAGAAGACTCACAAAGATGAGAAGTCATTCAGATGTTTAGAATGTGACAAGTGCTTCTCGGAAAAGGCCAATCTTACTCGACACCAGAGAGTTCACACGGGAGAGAAGCCATTTAGATGTCGCGTGTGTGACAAGAGTTTCTCAAATAAGACAAATCTTACACAACACCAATTGATTCACACAGGAGAAAGGCCATACACATGTACTCAGTGTGGCATGTGCTTCTCACAAAAGTCTAATCTTACTCGACATCAGAGGATCCACACAGGAGAGAAGCCATTTATATGTTCAGAATGTGACAAATGTTTCTCTAACAAAGCAAATCTGATGGAACACCTAAGGGCCCTACATGGAAGGGAAGGCATGCTCATTTTCTGAATGGGAAGAGAGCTTTTCATTAGACATCTTGTTAAACGATAACTTCTCCAGTAGCCCTTCCAATCGTCATACTTACCTCTTCCTTCTCTGCCAAGATCTTCCTGGCGTAGCCGGCATTGTCCCATACAGAATCTTTTTCAAAGGTAGTTTTTAGATTCAACTCTTCCACAACCATATGTACTCTGTCAAATAAAACAAAATATGTAAATACTTACCTTTCTATTCGCATCCTAGAATAGTGCAGAAATTCATATGGATTTTGTTTTATTCTAATAATTATTT